AGCTTAATGTCAACTCCATTTGTTTGCAACTTCGTGTAATGTCAATTCCATGTAACATCAATTCCATGTAACATCAACTCTATTCAGCGTCAACTCCATATAGCACCGACTCCATTTTGCGTCAACTCTGTTTAGTGTCAACTATCAACTTTGTTATCGTTACATTTCGTTATGGTCAACTCTGTTGTACACTGGTTTAAAAATGTTAACGTAAAGTTAAAGATTTTTTGTATATTTTTCTAGTGTTATTTTTAACTCCAGCTAACATCAACTCCGTAATCGCTATACTGCATAACCATCAACTCTGTTTTTTTCATCTCTGTTACTGTCAATTCCATTTAGTGTCAACTCCATTTAGCGTCAATTCTGTTTAAGGTCAACTCCATTTAGTGTCAAATCAGTTATCGTCAACTGTTGTTTTTAACTGTTACTGACAACTGTAATTTTCAACTCTGCTAGCCTGAACTCCCTTTATAATCCAATCAGCTTAATGTCAACTCCATTTGTTTGCAACTTCGTGTAATGTCAACTCTGTGTAACGTCAATTCCATGTAACATCAACTTCGTTTAGCATCAACCCCATTTAGCATCAACTCTGTAATTGATATACTCCATTATGATCAACTCTGTTTCTTTCAACTTAGTTATTGTCAATTCAGTGTAGTGTTTTGCGTCAACTCCATTTAATGTCAACTCCGTTTAGCGTCAACAACAAAAGCGTCAACACCGGCTAGCATGAACTCCATAATCGTTACACTGCATTATTGTCAACTCCATTATCGTTAACTCTGTTACTGTCAATTCCATGTAGTGTAAACTCTGATTTGTGTCAATTACATTTAGCGTCAACAACATGAGAGTCAACTCTGGCTAGCGTCAACTCCGTAATTACTATACTCCATTACCATCAACTTCGTTATTTTCAACTCGGTTACTGTCAATTCCAAGTAGTGTCAACTCTGTCAACTACATTTAGCATCAATTCCGTTTAACGTCAACTCCATTTAGTGTCAACTCAGTTATCGTCAACTGTTATTTACATCTATGTCTAGCGTCAACTCCCCTTATTATCAACTCAGCTTAATGTCAACTCTGTTTATTTGCAACTCCGTTTAACGTCAATTCCGTGTAACGTCAACTCTACCCAGAGTCAACTCCATCTTGTGTCATCTCTATGTAGCACCGACTCCGTTTAGCGTCAACTCTGTTTAGGTTCAACTATCAACTTTGTTATCGTTACATTTCATTACCGTCAACTCACTGGGTTAAAAACGTTAACGTTAAGTTAAACATCTGATACACAACAAACACACGTGTGTTGTATATCTTTCCAGTGTATGGAAAATGCTTGAAATGTCTCACAATTCTGAAATAAATCTATATACTAATGAGTATATGAATTAGGGGTGTATATATACACATATATATGAATTAAGACAGTGCAGAGCATGAGCAGTGTTCTGATGTTGTCTATTTAGTGAGCGCACTAGAGCTGTAGTGATGTTCAGGACAGACAGGCGCTAGTCTCGGACTCATCGCATTAGCGTGGCGTCGGCGGCGTCTCACAGTGATGATGTCATCGCAGTGATGGATTAAACTCGGCGGGCGGGCGGCGCTGCTCTGTCTGAGGGGGCGTGGCCTCGCTGCACTAAGACTTCTGGGTAATGCACAGCACGCCGTAATCTAATTCATGCACATCAAAAGCAGCCGATTCTGCTCTGTTTCAGCTCATCTCTGTCACATCCATCTA